GGCAGCCTTGGCACCATCATCACCGACGCCATTGCCGCTGAGGTCAATCGTGGTGAGGCTGCTGCTCTGCTTCAACGCCTCTGCCAGCGCCTTGGGGAGAGACAAAATTCCACTGCAGGACAAGTCGCATCTTTTCCTGACTCCGCTACCCTCAAAGCTGAAGTTGTCGGAGCCTCGGCCACAGCACTGCCATCAGAGCCTTCTGCAGGCTTGATACGGATGTCTTCCAAGGTCTTCAGCGAAGCTAAAGCCTGTCAAAAAGGAGCTTGGGGATGGAAGGAAATCCGTTGACTTTCGGGATCTGCCAGGAGGATGCAACTTGGATTTAGTATTTAGGAGTACTATTCTGCACGGCTACAGAAGACTTTGACTTTGACCTGAAGCACGACGCAGCAGACCGCGGCCTCGCCCAGGGCCTTCGCCTCCTCTTTGCCGATGAAGACGTTGATGAGTCTCAAGGCTCTCAGCCGCTTGTAAAACTTCAACGACTCGGCCAAATGCCGGACCTCCTCAGCAGGAAGGTTCTCAAGCACCGCCTCCTCACAAGCTGAAACCTTGTCGTGGAAAATCTTCGCTTGGAGCTGGCTGACGGCTTCCTTATCGGACCTGTGGGTAAGCCGGGCATCTGCCATCAGCTGTTCGAAGGCAGCGGGAGACATCGGGACTTTGCCCTTCAGCTCATCTGTTCCTACCTGGTCACCTGCGTCGATCCTCTGGTGCTGTGCAGTCCTGTTCCTGGCGCAGGACCACTGCACTTCACCCCTGCACCAACCGCGATCTCCATACGGAACGCGGTTTTCCATCAATTCCTTCAGCGGGAGCTGTTGGACTGCTCCGCTGGCTTCATGAAACACCGGCACCTTGAACGAAGAGTCCTGAAGCGCTGCTTGCCAGACGGCGTCCGGCGTGAGGCTCTCGATGCGAAAGGTGAAGCTGTACTCGTGTGCATAGAGCACCTGCATGTTCTGCATCGCCAGCCGGAAGCTTCGCTCCTCTTCTTGGCGCTGGCGCTCGAACTGAAACAAGGAAACGTAGTCATAGAAGACCCAGACGTCATCATGGTAGGCAGCATCATACAGAGAAACACAATTCACCAGCTGCCGCAGTTGGAATCTGCATGGATCTGGGTGTTCCCTAGTCTCCCAGGCATGCGACACGGAGCAAATCAGGGCGTCTTTGCGCCCCGCCGCCCACTCGCTGAGCTCCGCGTGGGTTACCAAGGCAGAGGCCTCCTCGCCTCTGACTTCGCCTCAGCTGCAGTCAAGTTTTGGGTGCCTCTGGGCTCGAGGCTTCGAGAAACGTGCTGCTGTCTTCCGGGTACAATCGGGACATGTCAACTCCATGTCCATACACCTCGACACACCTGAGCTGTACCTGAGGTTGCCATCCCTGGCTATGCAGAGAACGGAGAGAGCCAACTAATTCAATTTCATCCAGGTGCAGACTGCATGCTCCGCTTCTTGCCGTCTCGGCAGGGGCGTCCTGGAGTGTCGCAGCTTGTAGAGGTACCTTGGAGCCCAGAACTTCCAGTGGTGCCATCCAAAGGTTGTCACATGCCACAAGTGGGATGGAGCACTCCGTGCGCACGAGGCGGATGTTGGCATCCTGCAAGAACTTAGCCAAGTCCTCCTTCACTCCGAGGTCATACGTGGCCTGGCACTAACGGCGGTAACTGGCTCCCCAAACTGCACCGTCAGGCCCACATCGGTGCATGCTGTGGGCGTTTCAGTTGAGGAATTGAGGGCTCGGGCTTTAGGTCTCAGCGGAAGGCTTGGGGTTTAAGTCGTAGGATTTCGGTTTCAGGTGTCGGTTTTATCTAAACCAAACAGAGTAGCTTGAACGGGGAAGGGCCTCCAAAATCATAGCCGATTGTCCAACATGTTTTGGTTAGACCCTAAGCCGAAAAGCAGTCTCACGCGCCTCTGGCGCCTCCGGGGTGTCTTCCAAAAGTGCCTCCAAAATCACAGCCGATTGTTCAAACATGCTTCGGTTAGACCCTAAGCCGAAAAGCAGTGTCACGCGCCTCTGGCGGCGCCTCCGGGGTGTCTTCCAAAAGTGCCTCCAAAATCATGGCTCTTTATTCAAACATGTTTTGGTTAGACCCTAAGCCGAAAAGCAGTGTCACGCGCCTCTGGCGGCGCCGCCGGGGTGTCTTCCCAAAGTGCCTTCAAAATCACAGCCGATTGTTCAAACATGCTTTGGTTAGACCCTAAGCAGAAAAGCAGTGTCACGCGCCTCTGGCGGCGCCTCCGGGGTGTCTTCCACAAGTGCCTCCAAAATCACAGCCGATTGTTCAAACATGCTTTGGTTAGACCCTAACCAGAAAAGCAGTGTCACACGCCTCTGGCGGCGCCTCCGGGGTGTCTTTCAAAAGTGCCTCCAAAATCACAGCCGATTGTTCAAACATGCTTTGGCCCTAAGCCGAAAAGCAGTGTCACGCGCCTCTGGCGGTGCCTCCGGGGTGTCTTCCAAAAGTGCCTCCGACAATCATAGCTCTTTATTCAAACAGACCCTAAGCCGAAAAGCAGTGTCACGCGCCTCTGGCGGCACCTCCGGGTCGTCTTCCAAAATGCCTCCAAAATCATAGCTCTTTATTCAAACATGTTTTAGTTAGACCCTAAGCAGAAAAGCAGTGTCACGCGCCTCTGGCGGCGCC